TTCTTTCATAGAATTGATTTTTAATGAAAGAAACCATTTTATCTACTGTGTGAGGGGGGGGGCGGTAGGAGAGAGCAGACAAGCTTTCTACAAGGAAGTCTTTGGCTATCGCCCGATACGATTATCGTGTAACAGGAAATCCAACTGGCCCCGCAGACGAGCTACTGGGGCCTCCCCACGAGAATTGGGAAGAAACTGAACGGGATGGCCTACGGAGAGGGCCTCTGCTCACCTGGAGAAGGCCGAGTCCGAGCTCTTCTCCATGCTCTTCCTCCAGGACTCTCGCCGGAAGGTAGACGAGTGTCGCCGGCCGGCGCCACCGCCCGCGCCGCCCACGGCCAACCGTTCTACGGGGCGGTAGAAGTTGACGCAGATCCCGTACCGACATTTTCCTGTAAGCGAGAAGAGAGGAATATGATGGCCAGTATAGGGAAAAGACCCGCGGAGCGCGGTCAGCACGCCTGGTATGAAGGAACACATGGCGAGGAGGGGGCGGCCCGTACCCGAATCCTTTTCGGTGAGGGTGAAGGTGAAGGACGTGGCCTCCCTGCGGTTGGTTCTCCGCGGCCCCACAGACACGCACCCCTCGGGCTGGCAGAAGTACACCACCTCGTTGGGCAGGGGGAAGTCCTTGTGGTCCTCCGGGGGGTAGCGGCGCAACAGCTCCGGGTTCTGCGCAAGTGAAGAGGAATCAATCAGACAGAGCAAGATAAGTTCATTGTCAAAGGAAGTCAAGGACACGTGATAGAAACACGGACAGACGGGCTGATTGTCGGGCTGTGCGATGTGCACACTTTGTCGCACGTGTGGCGGCGGGGGAATACCCGTTCGCGCGCCAAAAACATGCGACCGCGCGCGACCGCCTTCTGATAAGACCGAAGGCGTGTGTTGCCATGTGCCATGGCCGTGGCCGTAAAAAAGTGGAATGTGTAGCAAAGCAACATCAATTTTTCTAAAAGCATTTTAAAGTATGAGGGGAGCACTTTTATTACTTTCATTGCAGCATCTTTTTTT